GGGAGCAGCACCTGCTGGAAATCGGGTCCAGCGTCCCTGAGTTACATGTTTATAATGCGGTGTTTGTTGGGCATATGGCCGTTTGAGTTCTTGTTCCAGAGCATCCTTCTATCCCTCGGGGCTGCATATGTTACCCTCCCACTTTGTGTTGCTCCTATTCCCTGCAGGCCCTGGCCTACCCGGTATGGTGTCCACTTAGCATTTATATCTAAACTACTCCTGTTGATAGTGGCAGAAATGCCATCCCTGGTGTGTGCAACCCCCCTTATTCTGTAGTCATTCCGAAGCCCGTTTCTGAAGCACTTTGTATCCAAAGCCATTTGCCCACAAGACAGGGGACCGATGATGACTATTTCCTTTCCTGCTCATGGAGCCAGGCTGCGCCCTCCCTGTATGGGCCCCACTGTTTGTAGTCATAATGACCTGTCGTCCCCCAGCCCCCACCCTTTCGGACGGCAGGCTTCGGTCCGTGTTGGACACCGTCAGACTGTGTGAGAAGGGGCCCCATTATATGTAGGCAGACTGTCCTCCCATCCCCCAATCCCCACTTGGAGCAGTAGGTTTCGGTACGAGCAGAGCAATGTTATCTTTGTTTTGGGTCTGTCACTGGCTGTCTGGGTTTAGATTGGTCTGCACCCTAGACCGTAGCCGATCCTTCATCAGTCGGGGAGCATATTGTAATCTTCCAAACCGCTAACCCCTAAACCCTGATTACTGCACAAGGTCCATTTGTCGCTGGTGACAGTAACCTGACTGTTGTGCAGCTAGCCTCTCCTGTCTTGTAAATCTCCAGACCCCATCCCCCAATCCCCACTTGGAGCAGTAGGCTTCGGTACGAGCAGAGCAATGTTATCTTTGTTTTGGGTCTGTCACTGACCCCTAAACCCTGATTACTGCACAAGGTCCATTTGTCACTCTTGTCTTGTAAATCTCCTGACCCCATCCTGAGGTGGCTCCCTGGTCGGCGATTGCTGTTGTTCGTCTTCTGATGATCCGATGTCTTGAAGTCACCAAGTTGCCCCCTTCCGTCTGCTGCATTGTGAAAAGATGTCAGGCTGTTAGTGATGTGGGAGCGGGAGCAGGGTGGGGGAAGACAGATCTGGAAAAGCAGGTGGGCAGGCGGGAGAGGTCGCTACGTAGGAACAGGGAGGGCAGGAGGTGTGGTAGGGGTCTAAGCCTCTAAGGGACAAGCACAAAGTTGGTCGGGAGGAACGGGACCGCAAAGTCTTGCAGAGGTTTCTTTGCCAGCCCAGCTCCCCTGCCCTCCAGTGCTTCCATTGTATATTGAGATCGTGTTGTAGTGCAGAGAAGACCTGGTGGGGGTCTTACCGAATCTGGCAATATGATTCCAGAATAGCCTTTCTGAGGGTGGCATCCTTTTCCTCGTAGTACTCCTGTGTCATGGTCTTCCAGGCATTTTGGGTACGGGATCTGACTTCGTCCTCTATCTCCTGTTGCGCTCTCTGGAATCCAAACTGGTGGTCTTCTCTCTCATAGGAACACCTTGTTCTCCAAGCTTGCATGAGGACATGTAGCCTCATATTTGATAAGAGGTTAACCGTGAAGGGAGACCAGTTTGCAAGCAGTTGTTGATTTTCACCTAGGAGGATGAGACCAAGATCCCATGGTATGTGCTGGTCCGTCAGCGCGTGGAACGCTGCATCCCACCACCTCCATATCTGAGCAGCCATCGGGCGAGCCAGAAGGCAGTGCTCAAGAGTTGCCCTAGCAGGCTGAGTGGCCCTACCGCAGTATGTGCAGATGGGGGACAACAGGCCTCTTTGCTCAAGGTTTGTTCTAGATACAATCCAATCGGGAGTAGGGAGACACCGATGTATTATTTGCCATTGCAAGGATCTGAGGTCTGTGGGCATGAGTTTGGCATATTTAGTCCAGGGGAGGGTGTGCGGCAGGTGCGGGCCGAGTGGAGAGTCCCGCTCCCATCTGTGTAAGATCGTTTTTCCTATCTGTTGTTGAGGCCGGGCTGCCTTGTACCCCCCTTTAACTGTGTAGTCTCAGATATGCAGGTTTTGTTGGCTCGTTCATTCTCATTCCTCCGGGTCAAAGGGGAGAAGAGCAATGGGTGTGGACGGCTCGTACACCTGGAAACCACTGTCCCGATCACCCACAACTCTGACATTTACCAGTCCTGCCCATGATTCTGTAATGTCGGAGTCCTCATCCCGGTTGAGGTGCGAGAGCCGCATCCCCGGGGTGTGTAGGTCAAAGGCCTCCAGTTTGCAACTCGCACGGTTTTTGTTGCAGACCCTGTACACTTTCAGTGGACATGGCAGGTCCACATATCTGACCACCCAGTCTTGCGGCTGAATTGTTGGCCCTGTTTTGAGAGTCTGCTGCCAGGCCAACGACAGCGCATCGATGAGTTGGCGAGCCTTCTCTTCGATGTTCCTCACATGTTTCAACTTAGTGTGTAGGCAGTCCAGCGAGAGCTATTTTTGTTCGACCTGGTCCCAGAGGTCGCCCACTGTATAGATTCCTCTTTTTGCCCAGACCAGCCACGGTGAGTTGGTTGTGAGCATGAAGGGGTTTCCGTCCTCATTCAGGATGAAGGGGTTTTCAAATAGTGGCTGCCTCCTCACTGTGTGCCACCAATTGGGTATGCGCTTTTCATTAGGGTCCCGCGTCCTCCACAGTTTAATCATATTAGGCCAGAGTGGGTCGTTGTGAATGTCCTCTCTGGTGGCGCGTGATACACCTACCGCTTGTGTGTGTCTGCGAGGACTCGGGATCGTCCAGTGTTTATTTGTCAGTCACTGGAATGAGTGTATGTGATCAGCGGGCACCAATTCTGGCACCAGCCCTGCTATCTGCACACAGGCCAGGGGTCTCCATGGAATATTGTTTCCTATGAGGAGTCTGGTTAACACTTTAAACATCATAGTCTCAGTCTCCCTCTGAGGGTTCAGTATCCCCAACCCCCCCACAGATCTTGGTTGTGTGAGTGTATCCCAAGACACACTGTTTAGGCACCCATCCGCTTTAGCACTGTTCTTCCATAAGTACGAAGTGAGCGCTTTTCGCAGCCTGGTGTGTTGCTGCGGTGTCAGCGGTTACACCGCCAGTTTATACCATATAGCAGCAAGGATGGCATTGTTAATCGCCAGCGCTCGTCCAACCAAAGATGTGTGCAGTCCCTCCCATCTTGCAATGCGGTCGATGGCCATGTTCACGAGGTTGTCTCCATGATCCACCGGGGGTCCCATCACCGTTAGTTTCACTCCCAATATCCTGATAGCATCTTCTTTTCTCGCCCATGCTACGCACAGGACCGGTGGCGGAGGGTCGTCATGAGGATGGAGCCACCAACCCTCTGTCTTCGATCCCCAATTCACTTTCATGTCCGCCGTCAGTGAAAAGAGGTGTATAGTTTGGGTCAGGGCTTGCAGACTGTCCCGATCCGCGCGTATGAGGACCGTGAGGTCATCAGCGAAGAGTGACTTCACCGGTATCAGATGGTCCGGGATCTCTGGGATGGGTATTTTGCTGATTTTCGGGTGGGCCCGGATCAATGCTGTCAGGGCCTCCATGACTATAACAAAGAGCAATGGTGCAATGGGGTCCCCTTGGCGGACGGTGAATCGACGCTGAGAGGTGACCGTTGAGCATGATGTTTGTGGTGGTCGATCTGTGGAAGATTTGCACCCATTGGCAGAATTGGAATCCGAAGTTCATTTTCGCGAGGCACATGTCTAAGAAGTCCCAGTCAACATGGTCATATGCTTTCTCAAAGTCTATGAATAGTATGGCTGCTTGGACTCTGCGCTGGCGTGCATATTTGATAGTTTCGTTGACCAGCAGGATGTTATCTTGGATATTGCGGTTCGGCATAAAACCTGTTTGATCCGGATGGATCAACAAGTTCATGAATGGCAGTAGGTGAATGGTGAGAGTTTTCACCACCAGTTTGTAGGGGACTGGGAGGAGGGTGATAAGTCTGTAATTTCTAATGTTCTCTTTGTCTCCCTTTTTATAGAGAAGCGTAGTCACCCGTTGTCTGATCATACCCCCAAAGGAGCCTTCATCTTGGACAACCCTTATGTAGTCCATCAGATCGTCCTTGAGGAGATCCCAAAACATCATCCAGAACTCCTTCGGAAAGGAGTCAATTCCCGGTGTTTTCTCTTCATCCATGTCCTGTAGGGCCTCCCATATCTCTTCCTGCGCGAGAGGCCTATCCAGTTCCGTTTTTTGTTCCTGCGTCTAGCGTGAATGCACCGCGCGAAGCAGCTCATCCCTGGCCTCCCGTACTTCGTCAGGGTTTTTATTGGGGGTGCACGATGTGAACAGATCCTTGTAAAACTTGACGGCATAATCAGTTATTGCATAAGCATTCATAGCAGCCGGAGCACTATCGTCCAGCGGCTGTCTGAGCCGTGGGACAGCTGAAGCCCGTGCACAGGCTTTTGCTTTATTAAAGAAGGACCTCGCCATCGTTCCTTTGGTGTGTTCCCTTCTTATTCTCGCTTGTATCCTCCATGCCTGTGATTGCCTTTCTATGTAGGTCTGGAGGTGGTCTCTTGCCGCTTGCAGCTTTTCAAAAGAGGGGATGTGGTGGGGGTTCTCTGTGATGTACTCATCCCACTCTTCGAGGTCCCGCATGAGGCGGTCGATTATCACCTTACGGTCTCTCGTTGTCTGGGTGGAAAATTTCTTGGCCCTATCTCTCAGTTGGGCGATCCCATCATTGAACCAGGCCACGGTTTGACGGTCTTCCGGATGCGGTTTTGTGGATTGCCAATATTGCCAAAACTCCCGCATCATTTCCTTGAATTTAGTGAGTTGCAACAGCGACGTATTGAGCTTGTAGAAGCCCGGTCCTCTTTTGATTTGAGTGTGGAAGGAGAGACCCAAAGTTATCATTCTGTGGTCGAAGGATTTGCATGGGCTGATTGCAGCTATCTCCGCTTTCGTGGTCAATCCCATCAGATCCTTTGATAGTAGAGCAAGGTCTATTCGCGAGCTGGCCAAGCCCCGAGCGCCTCTAGAGGATAAACAGGTGTAGGCTTTTTGGGCAGGGTCCAGTATTCTGTAGGCATCTTCCAGCTCCCTCTCCGCCATCAGCTGTTTAAGCATGAGCTTGTCCGGGCCCAGTTCTGGCAGCGACGAAAAGCCCAGATACTCCCTTTGGGAGTTGGACCTACGGTCCATTGCCGGGTCCAGGGTAGTGTTGAAGTCCCCTATCATAATGGCAGGGGCATCCTTCGGTATGTGTCGGAGCAGGTCAAGCCACAAGTCCACCCTGTCGACGGGGTCATTGGGTGCATACATGTTAACAAGGTAAAATTCGTCTTCTTCATAAGCAAGTTTGAGGCACACCCATCGTCCTTGTTGGTGGTCTTGTTGCACTGACAGCGGTTTAAGTTTCGAGAACGGCGGGAGCCATATTGCGACCCCGGCCGACGCTCTGTCAATTGCTGGCGCCGAGTAGCATGTGTAGGGCCATATGAATTTAGCTTTTGCTGCATGCTGGGGTGTGTTTCCTGAATGCACACCGCATCAGGCCAGGCGCCGGAGACCGAGGATTTGATCATATCCCATATGACATTTTTTTTGTCTGTTGTTGCTTGGATGAGGCCGTTAACGTTGAGTGATCGGATATCTATATCTGCCCTAGCCAGTTTGACTGCCCATAAAGGGTGGTTTCTAGTCCGGGGAAACACAGGAGGGGAGGGGGGTCGCGGGGGTGGGCGAGACTGTTGTTGTTGAGCGGGCGGGGGTGCGGCAGCCGGGGGGGTAGGGAGAATAAGGTCGGCGGCAGGCGGCAGGTCGTCGTCAGGCAGGGACTGTACTAGTGTTTGGCTTGTGTGAGCTCTGGTCATTGGGTTGGTTGGACTCATCATTATGGAACAATATTAAGACCCTGTTGTGCACCCAACACACAAATTCCTTAGCCAATCAATTTGATGGGGAGGACTGCTGGGGGGTCATCCCATTGGTTTTGTTCTTGGAGCACATTGTCCTCCAAAAAAATTTGCATGAAGGTGAGGACTTCGGACTGTGCCCAAGCACTGCTGGTTGTGAGTCGTTCGGTGCTGAAATCCATTAGCTGTCGGTGTGTAAACCAGCTGAGATTTGACCGTTTCTGCAGTCTGATTTTAGGGTCTATGAGCAGAATGACGGGATGATGCCTTTTGGGAGTGTGAGAGAGGTAGGCAAGACCACCCCCATCACCCCTTCCGTACTTGTCTCCTCAACCCAGTATTTGAGTCTTTTCAGAATGACTGCAGTTGACGGGTTCCCCCTCCACTCTTCCAACGTCAGTCTGTCTGGGGGCGTAGGTCAGGCCAAGGGAGGGAGCTGTTGTGGCGGCCTAAGGCCGAGCACCCATTGCCCTGCTCTCTTTACCCTGGTCATGGGAAAGACGACAACTCCGTGTGGCATGACAATCGGGACCTCATCGTTGTCCTCCAGCCTCACCAGCTGACTCATCCTTTTGGGTAGGACCTCCAGTACATGTTCAGCTCGGGCAGACGAACTCCCAGGCTGCACGGTAAGACAATGTCCCCGCTGTGAGACTGGAGAGATCTGTCGTGCAGGGGGGGAGAAGATTTGGCGGTCTGCTCTGTTGCACTATCGCCCGTTTCCCTCGTCCGGCGGATTCCTGTGAGGGAGAACGTGCAGCGTATCACACAACTCGTGGATGAGCACTTTAGGCCAGGCAAGGCCTTCGTGACAGAATGCCTCAGATTGCGTGTGTGCCGGGTTGTGGTCAGGGGTCGCTTTCTCTGCCCCGAATGTCCTGTTCGCATATTCTTCCATTTTGTCAAGGAATTCATTAACCACGAGGACTATTGCGGCCCCAACATCCATCCAGTCGATGGCCGACACGAGAAAATCTTGACCAAGGTCCATTCCGTGAGGAATTCCAATTTTTGTTTTACCTCATCGTTGGCGGCCAGCGGCGGAAGAGGGGGAGGCGGGCTATCTTTGTGCAGTTCTGGCGGCACTGGCATTGCCAGTTGAATATCCATATCAGTCGGCGACTGCTGCTGTTGGCCTTCGGTCCCATCAGGGGCCGAGGTGTCCATGTCGTGAGCCTGGCCATCTTCAATGTGAGGGCTCTTCTCCCTCGCACACCTCAGCACCTGTTGCTCCTGAATTTGTGGCATGTGTTCTTGTAGAGCGGCTTGCTGTTGCTAATATATTTGTAGCTGCTCCTGCTGTTGCTGCAGGACTTGCTGTTGTTGACAGCACAACTGTTGTTGCCACTGCAAGTGCTGTTGGAGGAGCTGTTGCTCTTGTATCATCCTCTGTTGGTATTGTTGTTGATGGTACTGTGCGAGTTGAGTTCGCAGCAGGAGGTGGTATTGTTCCTCGTAGTCTCTCTGTTGCATGGCCTGTTGTTGTTGAAGGTGGTGAGCTTGTTGCGCCGCTTGGTGCAGCACTTGGATTTGCGCATGGTGTAAGCTTTGCTGGTCTTGGCTTTGGGGTTGCCTCTGCCCTGCCAGCTGCTGTTGTTCGTGTTGCCATACTTGCTGTTGCTGCTCAAGTTGCAGCGTGTGTAATTGCTGTTGGCCAAGTAGGGGCATTTTCGGTTGTGGTTGTTGGTCTCCCTGGTGTGCCGGCAGTTGGTATGTATGGTGAGAACGGTCTTCTAGCTGCTGTGGACCATCCACTCGGCAGTCCTCGAGAGGCTGGGCCATATCCCGTTGTAGCTGTTGCTCAGCCTGGTGTGTCGACAGTTGGTGTGTTTGGTGAGGGCGATCTTCCAGATGCTGTGCATCATCCATGCGGTGGTCCTGAAAAGGCTCCTGGGACGGCAGCAGTTGTAGCTGTTGCTCACCCTGATGTGTCAACAGTTGGTGTGTTTGGTAAGGGCGCTCTTCCAGCTGTGCATCATCCATGCGGTGGTCCTGAAGAGGCTCCTGGGACGCCAGCGGTTGTTGTCTTCGCTGTTGTTCCAAGTGTGACGGGTCAGGGGGCTCTGGCAGGGCAGGCCCTTGCGGGAACAACAGTTGTTGTTCCATTCCGTCCACAGGCTGGTGAGGTTGCAGGTGGGCAGCTGTCTCAGTGTGCCCCTTTAGTCGGGCATGATCCAGGGAGTGTTGTTCCTCCGTCGCGGGTAAGGTGCCCTTTATTATCAGGGCTCAGTGCCCAAGGCGACCAAACCCTAGCTCCAGCGTCAGCAGCTTCGGGTACTTAGTGTTAGGCGACTTAGCAACGTGCTGCCACTGGTGGCGCGAATATAGAAATGGAAAAAAACTATGGACAGTTTCATTGGGGCAGCGCGCCAAATAACGTGCAGACCCTAAAAAAAAAAAAAAAAAAAAAAAAAAAAAAAAAAAAAAAAAAAAAAAAAAAAAAAGAGACGTGCAGACAGCAACTTCTCTGACTAAACCGATCGAAGCAAAATGGTGTCCACATACATACAATCAGTACAATCAGTACAATCAGAATGTTGGCGGAATCCTCCCCCCCAACCCCCACCCCCACCCAAGCCTTTTACTTTCTTGTGCCTCGCCATCCGTCTATCCACCTGCCACGATAATAAACGGACAGACCACACAACCAAACTTTCCTATACGCTACGACCTCTAACTCTCCGCACCTCACCGCACGACCACGCGACCTCCTCCCACGACCGCCAACACTTTGCCTCACGAAATGACCAGTCGGTCGCCGGTTGGCGACCGCTACCTTATTTTTATGCATCACGACCCCATATATACCCTGTTAGCCATCCCACGACATTCCCCAAATAGAAAGCCCGCACTACAGGACAAAACGCAACCACCTCTATGCAGCCATTCCTGGCTGCGAACATGCCCGTAAACTCGTCCAGATTCAGGCATTCTATCCGCTCCTCTTTGCTAGTGGGACCACAACCCGGGAGTGAAAACGGATGCTTTTGTGTTCGGCATACTGGCGGAAGGTCCAGCACCTATGTTTCACAGAGGGCAGTACCGGTACCTGCCTCTTTTTCCATGTGTTGGTATCGCTCCGCTTCAGGCTCGGCAAAATGTGGCGCGCAGGCTGTTTTTAGGCTCGGCATCAATAGCTGCAAGTTGGGCGCTGCGCTGGGCCTAGCAGGTAATTTCCTTCGTCAAATGGGGTACAGGTGCAATTTCACGAAATAAAAGAGTGTGAAGATGCAAGTCTGGCGCTGGACTGGGCTTAGCAGGTATTGATGCAAGTTGAATCAAAGAGGTCCGGGGTATAGATGCAAGTTGGGCGCCGGACGGGGCTTAGCAGGTATTCCCTCGTCAAATGGGGTACAGGTGCGGTTTCACGAAATAAAACAGTGTGAAGAGAGAACCCGAAATCAATGCCGGGATGGGCTATATATGCAGGTAAGCTATATTCTTCTCTCATCTATTTCATCTTTCCTGGTAGTAGGCATCTATCTCATCCTCTGACTAGTCTATGTATAGTACAGGGGAACACCAACCAACCGACCCGGATCGCTCCCCAGCCTAAACACTGCATGTGTTTTCACAACTTTTCAGGTCGAGGAGAGCGTGCGTCCCGTCACAGCGGCAATCATTGATGCCTGCTGATCCCTGAGCTTCTAGCTTCTATTCAGTGTGCTATTGAAAAGCCCCTGGCCGGCACGTGAACGGCACGATTACTTAGAACCAGGGCGAACTCACACTTAGACGGAATCAGGGCTATATTCATCTTGGACAAGCAACATCGACGCTGTACGTCTCGTCTACCCTRTTCATGCAAGTGCTTCCTCCTCCACGGTATGTGAAGGAAGGGCTCCTTGCCACGCGCATTTCCTCTCTCTCTCTCTCTCTCTCTCTCTCTCTCTCTCTCTCTCTCTCTCTGTTGCTCGCTCGCTCGCTCTTTCGCTCTCGCTCTGTTCCGACGGGTACATCTTCCTCGAAGTCTCTTTTTTCTGTTTTTTTAAAAATAATTTGGACCATTTCTCGATTCATGCGTGTCACCCCTTCCGAACGGGCCATGCTAAAGGACCATTTCTCTGTATCGCTCCAATTTTAACGGATGTCTCAAGGGACCGCGGAGGGACCTCGAAGTATTTGCTGAGAAGACGTGAAACGAAATGCACAGCACAGTCCTTGGGGACATCCGTTAAACCACTAGTACCTCGCTCAGCTATAGGCCGCAGGCCTTCCCGTATAGGCGCCGCAGCCTTAGGGGGGTCGGCCAAGGGAAGGCCCGGTCGTAGCCAGAAAGTCGGGTCCCGCTTCTGTAGGGACGACAAAGTAGAGCGAAAAAAAAAAAAAAAAAGGAAAGAAAAAATGAAATACACAAAAAAAAAAAAAAGAAATACACAGAAGGAAAGTCCCGCGGGAGGGAGGGAGAGAGAGAGAGAGAGAGAGAGAGAGAGAGAGAGGCGGCGAGTTGCGCGCAACCCTCCGTGCATGTCGCCGCCCCTCCCTCCCTCTCTCTCTCTCTCTCTCTCTCTCTCTCTCTCTCGTTTCGAAACACGAAACGAGCATGCATCTTCCCACTATCCGCGGGAAGATGCATTCAAGTTCCCGTTTCGTGTTTCGAAAAGAGAGAGAGAGAGAGAGAGAGAGAGAGAGAGAGAGAAAGAGAGAGAGAGAGAGAGAGAGAGAGAGAGAGA